TAGATCTAAAACAAGCCAGCTACTAATGTGTAGCTGATTGTGTGGCTGTCGGCTCCCCCGGGACAGAACAGTCTGGCCGCACAGGGCAGACCCATGTGTACAATTGTATGTGTAGTAATCCAGACTCACATGAGATGAAATGTGAGCACATGTATTCCAGCACCGTGTGCTCACACGTGTCTCAGTTACAAGCTGGGAAAGTAAACACGGGAGGGGCATGTTGAGTGCGCGTTAATTATCCAGCCGTATCAATAAGGCAGAAATAAAGTAGTCGGTTTTTTTTTTTTGTTCCTCTGTCAATAATTGTCTGGCCCTGTCAGGCACCAAAGTCTATTTAAACAGAGATTTATCTATAATCCGGGCATTCTCAGCTATGCGTGGAGCTTTACTTAGTGGCAATTAGCAGAGGCGGGGCCTGGGCTCACTGCGCTTAGCCTTGCACTGTACAGACATATTGATCTTGTGTTGTTTTACAAGAATTTGAAGGGGAATTATAGTCACGGTCGCTGATTAATAGTATGTGCACGGTAACAGACCAGTAACTAGCAAGTTTTGTATTTTTTTGCTGCTCAGCAGCTGTGCATGTTCTCAGCTCGATGGAGGAGGTCGATATTTGATTGGCCAAAATCTAGGATGTGTTTGGTTCAAAATATCCATCCTCCAGCAATAGAAAAAAAAAAGTTACATTGGACCTAAACTCAAAGTGGCTTTGCAGCAGATCTGTTTGGTGGATGCCAATGTCAGCGGAGGATTCATCTACTTTGACTGAAGACGCCTGTGTCTTCAGTACTGACTTGCACCACCACAGCGGCATCAGGTCACATGACCCTGAACTGTCCTACCAATTGATATGCTTTTTACAGCACAGGGGCTCCTCTGGCTCCAAGCCTACCATGATTGCTTCAACAAATACATTAGTCTGTTATTTCTATTTATCCACATAGAGGAATTTTGGTTTCTCACAAGGACAAAACACTTGGAAATCTGCCTTTCATCCATATACACAGTAGAACCATTTATTAAAGTAACCTGCACTGGGCGACTGCTCATCTGTTCTTCTAAATATACCCGTTGTCTGGTGGTCTTGTTGGCATGGCATGCAGGGTAATGGAACAGGTTCACTTTAGGTAGATTTTACTGTAGTTATAAATGCACATTACCATTTTACCAATACAATTGGTTTACTTTTGTCATTTTGTTTCCTAGTTCCCAACTTTGCCCAGGTCTATCTGCTAAAAAAATATTCAGTGAATGTGGATTCTGTCTTCTCTATAATTTGAATTGCTATATATTACCTAATGCTGCCCTCATGTCCAATATGATGCTTGGGTGGGAATATGTCTAGTTAGGGCTAGGTTTGTACTAAGTAGAAGAGGTTTCAATTGCCCTAGCCACACTGTCAAGGGAGCTTTGCAGCAGATCTGCCCTCATGACCTTTCTCCCCGGAAGAGAGACATAACCTGCTTATTTTCAGCTTGTGTTTTTAGTGGGCCTCTGGATCCCAGCTTCTACAGGTCACCAGGCCCACATCTTTCACATGTCTTTTCTCTCTCAATGGTTTACCCTAAACTCTCCCAGGATCTTTTCTAGGTATAGCTTCTACTGGTCACCAGGCCAACATCTCACAAATGTCTTCTGTCTCATTGTTTTATACTAAACTCTCCAGGGACCTTTTCTGGGTATAGCTTCTAGAGGTCATTAGGACCACATCTGCCATTTCCAACTTCTCTCTCTTGTTGGTTTACCATAAACATTCTCAGAGACTTCTCTAGAGATGGCTTCTACGGGTTGCCAGACCCACATCTCTCACACTTCTTCTGCCTCTCATTGGTTTACCCTAAACTCTACCAGGATTGTTTCTAGAGGTAGCTTCCACAGGTCTCCATGTCCATGAGAGATGTTCTCACACGTCTTCATTCTCTCATTATTTTACCCTAAACTCTCCTGGGATAATTTCTAGAGATAGCGTCTACAGGTCGCCAGGCCCACATTTCTCACACACATCTTCTCTGTCTAATTGTTTACCCTATACTCTCCTGGGATCTTTTGCAGGTATAGCTTCTACAGGTCACAATGCCCACATCTCTCACATGTCTTTTCTCTCTACACTAAACTCTCCCAGGACCTAGAGATAAGACTTCAAGAAAACTTGAACTTTCTTTAGTTTCAACATCAACTATTAGACATTGAGGAAGCAAATCAGGCTGAAATGTCTATGCTACTGGTTGCGTTAGTGGTTTACGTCCCTTGACTTGTGGTCATTGTTGAGCCAAACGCCTAGCATGCTGCTCTCCATGCTCCACCAGTGAATTGGTGGGACATTCACTAGGAGTAGTTCTCTTTGTCTCCCTATCCTCACTTGTAACTTTCTGATTGGCCAGAAGTAGTCTGCAGACTGCAGCATACTCCTCTCAGACCCATCCACCAATCAGAGACAAGTCATCGGATGTTTCCAGACCCTTTTAGAAACACTCTGACATTGCAGCAAAGATACAATATACTAATCCTTTTCTTCTCCTGGCACCTTATTACCAATTTTAAGGGCCATTGAGTGCTTTGGAATTTGTCTAAAAAAATGAATTGAAACAAATAGGAATTTCCTTTCATTGCTCTCTACTGTTAAAACCCAGGTACATATCTACTGGCAGAATAAGCACAACAATGCATTTTCCTTTCTATACAAGTGATCAGTCATGTAGGTGACACACTTTCTGAATGCTCTACAATGCAGTTTGTATAATGTAGTGAATAGTGTGATACATTTTATGTGCATCTGCTGACTCAACCATTGCATAACACAAGGACACTGTGATATAGTCACATACAAAATCTGTGAATTATATTAAACGAAGCATGTACATCAGCAGTTGCTAATCAATGAAGCTACCATTTGCTTTGCAGTACAGAATAGTTACGGGAATGAGTGTCCTGCCATGAAGGACCTTGAGGATGCAAAATGGTTACACAAAATAAGCAGTTACTACTGTAACCGTATCCACATTTCAACTAAAGAATGAAACCTATATGGTTTGGAAGCACAAGGGCTTCAGTTTTCTTTGCTCAAGTTTGTGTAAACCATCCCCAAGTGGACCCATACTGAGCTTTATATTTTCAAGTCATGCCATAGGTTTAAATATTGATTGAAGAGGTTAGAATGATTTCGTGTTGTTAATATACATGGGCAATTTTCTAACAAATGCAACCACTTTTAGACAGCATTCTATCACAACAATGATTGAATGGGTCCTAGTTAAGCAGCGTACCAGCGTCCCTGCCATGTAAAGCTGGCCGAACCCCAGGAGATTATCTGCAGATTTTCTACTCTGAGATGGAAAAAGTGCAACAGATTACTCCATCTACGCTAAACTGTGTGGATGGAGTAATCTCCCACTGGGCCAAGCTTCAGTATCTTGCTAGTCGGCCCCGCTGGCTCTCAAAATACCTGAACAATGCCTGCATTCAATCGGATTGTTCAGGTATTTTGAAGCCAGCGGTGCCAACTAGCAAGATACTGAAACTTGGCCCAGTGGGAGATTCCTCCATCCACACAGTTTAGCGTAGATGGAGAAATCTGTTGCACTTTTTCCATCTGACCATAGAAAATCTGCAGATAATCTATAGGTGGATGGCCAGCTTTAAAAAAGTCCCTAGTGTATGGGCAACATTAGTCCATCCTTGTAAACTGCTTTTCAATAAAAGAGCCAGCCACTAGAGCTTGTGCTTGATATGCCTTGAGGAACGCAGCTCTTAGGAGTCATGTCTTTATAAGGACACGGAGCATCAACAAAGGCTAGCGGTTTCTGCACATGAGCGTAGGTGAGCAATCCATGGTCAAGGTCAACCTTCACAAGGATTCTTCTATTCAAATGTGGTCCTCCAACTATGACATTGATCCTCAATAAGGAATAATGGATAAAAAGGTACTTGTCTGAACAATTATAGCAAATGTTTTGGAAAGGTCTGATGCTCAAGTTATACTTGCATGCTCTTGTATTTCCTTGTTGTACATTATTGTAAGATTGATATAATTATTGTAAGATTGATATAACAAGTGATAGCAGAAAAGGGAAATATACATTTTACATTGAAACATCCTAATACAGCATGTGATAAAAATTATCTAAGAGTTTCTAATGTCTCTCAAGGCCTCCCGTGGTGAGATCACTAGATCTTGGGGTCTTACACACTTTATGTGGACAATTGCAGCAGGCATCACTCTCCTGTTGTATTTTTGATTATTTATACTTAATGGAGAATGCAACAGGAGGACAGGGAACATCCTTGTTGTAGACTAAAGCTGCCCAACAACAGCTCGAATTTCAGCCAAATCAGCAGGAAATTCGAGCTCTGGGTGGCACACCTGGCACCACCTGGTTCAACAAAAGTGGATTTTGCAATCCACTTTTGACAAAGAAGACAGGGGAAAACGTATCGACCCGACAGTGCCTGCATCCAATCAAACGCAGGCACTGTTTGGAAATTCTTATAGTGGCGGGCCCTGGCTGTCAAATACAATAGCCCTCCAACTTCCTGACTGGCCGGGAAGCCGGCTCCATCCTCCATGCTCCCTCATCACCAAGTGTCCAATGCAGTTGAGCACAGCCAGTAGCTTTGCAAAGATCTCACTGCTGGACTGAAAGAAATGAAAGGTCAGTGTGTGAGTCATTAAGAAACCACCTGCAGCTAAAATATATACATTGTAGGTGGAGTTACCCATAATTTTTCTTTCCTCTGAATTTCAGGCCATATTTGCAGTGGAGAAACCAAGTCACACAGATGCATATGCTCATAATGCCACTGGAAAAGATCTCAGGTCTTTTAGCTGGAGGCATCTAAAGAGGTCACAGGGTGCATTTTGACACCAAGACAGCCATCCATGCCTGACACAATCAGAAAGGACCGGCCAACAGTCATCTCATGCCTTAGGGCACCCTAAAGCTCTGGAGAACAGGTCTCCACTGTATTAAAATTCAGTAAATAAATAAAAAAAAAGTGCTTACCAGGTCTCACTGGACTGTGCATGCAGTTCTGGGGCACCAGGCCTGGTAGGACAGAGGTAGATGCTCGGCTGCTCAGATCCATGACAGTAGGTGAGGTCACTGGGGGTGGCGGGAGGCTAGGCTGATGAGAGTTCAGTTCATGTGGGGATTGGGTAGGTGGAATCCCATTTTCACAAAGGAACTCTTCCAGGTCCATGTACTCCAGCTGGAAGGTGTCTCCATCATATGGCAAGGTCTTGTCCCAGAGAGTTGGCCCCAGGAAGGCCGACTGGGTGACAGACGTGGCTGTGCTATCATCTTCTAACTTCTTCTCTTTATCTTTTTCTTTGCAAAAGGCTGAAATAATAGTAGGATATTGTTAATACTGATTTATACTACACCATAATCTCCTGTACAGAGTAAGTTATACAATCAAATATAGGACTATATATACAATAAGACAAATACAGGAATATAGAAAAGATTTCCGAAGAACAAGATACAAATGCTGGCGATGCCATGGCTCAGGGAAGCTAAACATATCATTATAACTTGGTAGTGTAGAGGTTGACATTGATGCTTTAATATATGGGGATCCTTGGTTCACTTTCTTGAACAGGAAGGTGACCAATGAATTATAAAATAGGGTTGTTTTTTTCTTTTATTTCCAAAATTTCAGAGGACTATGATGTCTGGCTAACTTCGGGGCTCTCAATTATAGTAACAAAGTGGGAAACCCTTTCAATGGCGGGCTCCACTCCTCTTTAGAGACCCAATGATAAGTATAACCTGGTCCTACCAGATATCATAGTTTATTTCAGAATCTATTGCTCTGCCTAAAGCCGAACATTACACCTATCAAATTTACTTCCAGAAGTTTTTAATGGCAGCAGAAACCCTTTTAAATTGTGTGATATTATTCATAAACTTACTCATATGTATTGACAGTAAAAACAGCAATATGATCTGGAAACAATAAACTTTTGAAGCTAAGAGGCAAATTCTTCTATGCTTTGTAATTGCCGTACTGTTTTAGGAAGACAGTATGCTTTGGCCCTTTAGCCATACTATTTACTTGGAGGTAGAAGTCTATTGAGTATATACGATACACACTCTGCAAAATTGCTTTGGACCATTGAGGTTCCATGTCATAAGTTTTATATACTGTATATTCGTGTATCTGTGGAACTTCTGTGTTCTGATTTGTTCTCAACACCCAAAACCATGCTGATAGATTTTACCAAACTGGCCCTGTCATATAGAGGCGTGCATGAATTTTGTAAGTCATCAGTACTTCACTGCAGACTAATCTATATGAAAAAGTGAGTGCATGTCCTATGAAACTGGGTATGACTACCAATGAGGACAAGGTCAACATAGACTTCATATAGTTTACTCTTGCTTGCATCAATATCCTCTAAATTCTCCAGCATTGTCCCAAAACATGTTAATTACATTGTCCCTAGTCTAAATCCATCACGCTAAATCCCAAGATTCAGTGGAGAGGAGAGGAAAGTTGGGCATTGGGATAGCAATGTGGTAATTGTTGCAAATTTTTAGTGTTAGGTATTATTTTACAGTATTACAGGAAGAATCTAAGTCTACCAGACAAGGTATGTGACATATTTTGGCGTTTCACAAATACTGGAAATAAAGAACTATAGATTACACCTATTCAATCTCTATGCGGCCGTCCCACTAAGTCATGTACTCCGAGTAACCGTTTTAGGCATCACACACGGGATGCTTATAAATATAATTTTGCTTTCTAAACAGACACGTGCCTATATTATAACAATGTATTTATCACCGACAAGTGGGATTAGTTTGTTTAACTGTTCAATAAAGTTTGGGAAATGAATGTGTGTTGTGACACATTCACAAAATATATCTGCAGAAGAACATCAACCTTATTCTGATTAGTAATGGCCCCTAGTGTTATGCTTAAGGTGACACTAAACGCAGGAGTTAAAGCTTAAAAATGCATTCCGGTGCCCTGACTATTAACAAAACTGTATCTTATTTGTCTATCACTCGAATTATCTCAATTACCTCAAATTATCACTGAATTGGTGCTGACACTGTCCTTCCTTCTGGAGGGTGGATACTTTTGTTCCCCATGGTCCCTGTGTGTGTTGTAAAGTAGCCACCGCTCCAAGCTCTCTCCCATTATGGACTACAATCTTATGTTTAGTTTACCAATTTGTATTGAAATTGTAGTCCATCACAGGAGTGAGCTTGGAGCGGTGACTACTTTAAAACACACATAGGGACCATGGGGAACAAAAGTAGCCCCCCTCCAGAAGGAAGGACAGTGTCAGCACCAATTCAGAGATGATTGGAGGCTCTACAGCCGAGTGATACACAAATAAGATACATTTTTGTTAATAGTTTAGAAACTTGAATACATTTTTAAGTTTTAACTCCTGAGTTTAGTGTCACTTTAACTGTTCTTTAAAGCTTGAAAACTTTGGAGCAAGGAAACTGAATGTGTGATGTGACATTCTCAAAATATATCTGCAGAAGAACATCAACCTTATCTTGATCAGTGAAGACCCCTAGTATTTTGCTTAAAATAAAAAGTTGAGGACAGTTCTAAATTATAAAAAGATCAAGTTACAAAGATAAAACAATTTATAAACATAAAACAGAATCTTTGCTTAAAAGGGGAAATGTTTTTTTTAGTTACAGTCAGACCATTAAAACATAACTCTATATGGGATCCAACCATCATACCCCCCAAGGTTTTGGAATTGGGAAAGGGGGATCCTTCAGGGCAAAGACACACCTTAGTCATACCTCTGATTTCCCTGAGTAAAAAAACATAAACTTTTGGGCATTTAAAGTTGCCAACACGGGTCAACATCAGCTACAAAGCATATTTCCCTTTACAATATCATTCAAGAATGTGCAAAATGTTAAAGATTGGGCATCTAATTAAGAGCATCATAAACATTTTAGTAGCTGAGTGGTAGAGCTATTATACAGAACAGACAAGTAAAACTCTTCTGGAAGAATGACAGACAGGGGGTTGTTTGGTTTCAAAACATGGATTGGTATATGGTACATGGTGGCACCATATACTACTGTGGTATATGTAACTGTATCTACAGGTTACAGCTGCCGCAAAAACTAAAACCTACAGCCCTATAGTAAGCACTTGCTTACAGATATACACCTTAACATTACTAACTTCTTCCTTAAGTCATAAAGACAAACATGGTGGTAGACCACTGGTGGGGAACTGCCTGAAGACAAGGACAGTATGGCCACAATGAAGCACATTTTTAAAATTGTAACACTGCAACATGATTGCTTGTTTATTGCATTATTTACATCAGAGCTGGACGATCCCAGGAGCCAGGTGGCCAATGCTTTCTACATTTTTAGGTTTTCTCTAGTTGCTGTCAATGGAGCGGGCTCCTAAAAAATTCCTGCTGACTCCTAGGTTAGACCCACTGGCTCCTGAATTCCGCACTAATGTGTCCAGTCCTGATTTACATTTCCCTGTACTTTTGCAGAGCATGCAGTGCCGTTAATCTCAATACTTGTCCCATTATACAGAAATGAAGGTATTGTGGATATATATATA